ATTGATAGAAATGTGCAGCATGTTGCCCAATTCTAGCCACTCTTGTGAAGTCTCAGAAAACAGTAGCAGTGTCACAGACGGAGTTCATCGAAAGGTTGCCAATCACTGTCATTTAGCATTTGTGAGAGAAAACGTCTTTATTCTGAGACAGCTGGGCAAACCGAAGCCACAAACTAGCAGCTAGCAATTTGCCTGGCCTTCGCTAAGCAAACAACAGCAAGACATGCGCAGAGACCTCCATCACACAGGCTTATAATGGGCTCTAGCAACCTCTGTGCCCTCTATTCAGTCACAATCCCATCTGCACAAAAGCTTCTGTGCTTGTCAATTTCCTTTAATTACTGGCGTTGCGCTGGTAATAAACCTCTGTTTTTTTTCCTTCCTTTTTTTACAGTCACTGATCAAGCCCAGGAAATTAGATAGAGAGTTGGTTAAAGTAGGAGGTACTAATAATGTGCCTAGTAGTAAATAAAAACTATTTCTGTTTCTTGTGAGTATCAGTGGAGGCTTCTGACATCAAGGAGGGTCTTTTGTGCAACATCTCTGGCGGTTAAGAAGACAAAAAAACCTCTGTCTTAATCTCTTCAGCAAATTCTTCACAAGTGAAACTGCAAATGGCATGCAGTAAACAACAGGATCTCCCTCAGAGATGCAGACTTTGTCCTTTCTCTTACAATTTTAAGGAGAGAAAAACGTAGTACATTCCTGTCAGTTCTCAGTATTTTAGTTTTTATATACATTATTGTTTTAATTTAATAATTTGTCATAACTCTCTCCATTTATGTTTAATTACTTTAAATATTTTGACAAATGCTACATTTAGTGATTTATAAGTTTGTACCAACTTTATCTCACTTTTTATTCTCCTTTTAGACTAAATATTTTTGTATACAATGGCATAATGTAGTTAAATGCATGCTCATAGTTTTCTGCTTTTTTGAGTGATTTATTTTAGTTTTGGTGTAAATCAAAGCAGAGCATTGCTGTATTGCTTTCTAGGTATGCATTCTACAGTGTACAGGGTGTTACTCATTCCTAATTTAGCTGGTGCTTTTATGCAAAGTGACTTATATTTGCACCCATTTATACAGCTGGGTACTTTACCAGAACCACTCAGGTGAAATACCTTGCTCAAGGGTGTAACAGAAGTGTCTCACCTAGGATTTAAATGCACACCTTTCCAATTACGAGTCTAGAATCCTAAGCACTGCTTCACAGTGCAAATTATTTTTTTCTTATACTTGGAGTCATTTATGAGAGTGAAAAATATTGCTACAGTATTTTTTAGTCACTTTAATAAAACCTTTTTATTGTTTATCTATATTGTCATATTTAAATAACATTGCAGACTTAGTGACCACAAAGAATTACTGTGGGCTGTATTATTAGAAAAAAACCTTGTGACTAAATATGAACACATTGTGTATTACATCTCCTTATCAGCCACCTCATTTCGTTTAAGATTCCCTTGTATTTTACAGAATCAGTATTTGATGGGTTTTGAATGGACAGTTCTGTATCTTGAGTTGATTTTCCTTCAGATTTGCCTTCAGCCATATCCATATTCACAGCCCATCAAGCCCTTTTGGCAGTGAGATGCTAATTTGTCTTCAACAACACAACAGATCTCCAGGTTTGACTGATGGGTTATTGTTACCAGTATGTCTTCGGGAGGAAATGGGAGCACCTGGAGGGAAACTATGTGAAGATAAGGAGAACGTACAAACCCTATGTAGATAGCACCCCAGGTCCACAATTGAACCCAGGACCCCAGCACAGTGAGGCAGAAATGCTCACCACTGAAGCACCGTACCACCCTGTGAAACATTGACTTTAATAATTAAGCGGCAGTTTAGCACAGTGGCATAGACAAGCAGTTGCTATTAAGAGGTACGCAGTTCAAATCACGATCAGAAATAAGCAGGTGTGAACCTGGTCAGTACCTGATTGGGAGACCTCCTGGGAAAAACTAAGGATGCTGCTGGAAGAGGTGTTAGTGGGGCCAGTAAGGGGCACTCACCCTTCGGTCTGTGTGGGTCCTAATGCCCCAGTATAGTGACAGGAACACTATACTGTAAGAAGGTGCTGTCCTTTGTATGAGACATTACGTTCTCTCTGTGGTCATTAAAAATCCCACGATGTTTCTTGAAAAGAGCCTTTACCAGTCATGGCCTCCTAGTAGTCCCCATCTATGAACTCTTCATCACTCTGTGTCCTCCCCACTGATAACTGATGTGTGGTGAGTGTACTGGTGCACTATGGCTGCTGTCGCATCATCCAGGTGGATGCGGCACATTGGTGAAAGGGAGTCCCCATTACTGTAAAGGGCTTTGAGTGGAGTATCAAAAAAAGCGCTATATAAGTGTAACAAATTATTACTGCATTATAACTGCAATGTAGTAGCAATCAATACTGTGAACAATCACTTGAAAATCCACTAGCAAGTTACGTGATAACATACAAGGACAGCTGTTCTTCTTAAACTGATTTTAAAAAGCAACTTTAGTAGAATGAGCATCTTGTCTGCCACATGCCAACTGTTCCTTGCAATTGCTAATCCAAGACTTCAGACTGTCCCATCTACACTATCTTAAGACCCTCTTGACCTCCCTGCTAAAACTATCCATTCACTGCATCTCATTCAGAATTCCTGCTGCTTGTCTTGTATTTTCTCTTCCCCCACTTTTCTTGTACTGTTCGCTTCTCAGGGATTTACTGGGTCCTATCACCGTATGCACGTGTTTCAGTACCCTAGTTCTCACATACCTTTGTCTCAACCACTCTGGTCCTACCCCTCTTCGGTCCTTTATCTCCCTTTACACTGTTTTACTCCCTCTCTACTCCTCCCATTCTCCCACTTCCGGAGCCCCTTCATTCTCGGCCCTTGCTCCTCAGTGATAGAGCATACTGCTTAGTCTCTTACCACCTTGTGGCACCTCAAGACTCATGTTTCGACAGTGCCTGTGGCCTCTCAGCTCTCAGTTGCATTCTTCACTATACCCTTAGCTCTCAAACTGGCAGCATGATTTGTTTATTACTCTTTATTCCCTGTTAGCATGGAACAGAATCATTGAACTGCCTGGAAAGAGTCGCAGCAAGAATGTTTTTATCACGGTACTAATACAAATAACTTGACGACTGATTAGAACGAACAGGTTGCTAGAAAAAAAAATAGTTATGATATTATGAAATAGTAGTTTTTAGTTTAAAACTATATATAGGTAATAATTTTAGATGCTGCATGTCACAATATTCAGCAGAAAACAACTAGTATATTTTTGAGCATAGAAGTTGAATGTAGCACTCTTTTTTCATCATGTAAAAATACTGTAACGCATACGGCCACCATTGCAGGTTATTCAAGCCGGCTTAGCAGCTCGATGACGTCACCGCCCTTCCCTGTGGATAGCAGGGACCGCTGCCGTCGGGCTGACCGGGAGATTTCCCTTTAGCTCAAGTGGCTGGGTCCCTGTTGAGTGACGCCAGAGGCCTGGGTTCGAGTCCCAGACGGTGGGGGGCCGACCTGAGGCGGCAGCGATGAGGGTGCATACCCACGTGAACCCCAGAGCGCTACAGTTTTTTTGAGAAAGATCGTGTGATTCATACTCTTTGCATTGATTGCATGATGTAAATCTCCCTATTTTTTAAGTTTGCTGTAGGTTCTGTTTAATGTATTGTGTTGAAAAAGTCCATAGCTGTAAAATTCTGTCTCTCCACGAAGTTACTAGAGAATCATTGGAAATAAATTTCTCATCCAAGAGATGTGGACCAAAGTAATCAGGACTAAAGAAATGTCTGAGACACATACTCCAAACAAGTGCTTTTAAATCTAAGATGGAAGAAAAATGTAAAGCCTTGCATTACTGTCCAATTTTGTTCATTTTTGGCTTTATCTCTTAATCCTCTAGAAGTGGTCTGATTTTCCTATAGCAACGTTATTCCTCTGTAAATGTCAGTAAAAGGCACAATGTTGATAGTTTTGTTACGCCATTAGCTTACTGATCTACAGTCTGACTTTATCTTCTCTGTCCACTAAATCTGTACACAAACTGAATTCTTTAAGCAGAAATGTGATTAAACATGTTTTTCGAGCAGGCTTATTACTCATTCTGCCAATAGAAAATACAACAGTTTTTTATATACACTGTCTCAATATGTATATGTGTGTCTCAAAAAAGCTACATTCATCATCTAATACTGATGCACTTTTTGCTCTTTCTTTGCATAAAACAGTATACAATATGTAATTACTTTTTTCGATATAAATCTTTCTTTCTTCCATATTTTATTTTGTTATGCTGATTTTTTTTTGACAGCTTGAAATCCCAAAGGAAACTGTTGGCTGTTAGGCAGACAAAATGTTGTGAGTGAATGGCTGAACTGTTTCCAGTTAATTCATTCTTGAGGATAATGCAACCAACAGTTGCATTAAGATTAGCTTGACCTTAATGTGTAAAAGATTTTTTTCGCCTGCTTCAGCTGTAGTTCTGGAGATGTACAGTATACAGCGGTGGGTTTCTATCTTAATGTTTTATATAAATATGTATGACAGGGATGCCCAACTACTGTCCTGGAGACTCCAGGAGGTTTCATTGAATTCTCTAAATCAGCAGCACGTAAAGAGTTTGATTGAGGCCATCCATTTAAGCTAATAGTTCATTTCAGTTTGATTTTTAAGAGCTGAAATGAAAATATGTGGACACACTAGCTCTCCTGGACAGGAGGTGGGCATTCATGATGTACAGTACGACCTTCTTCAGCCTCAGATCTACTTCATTTTATTACCTCATCTTACCTGTAAAGTAACATTTCATTGAAATTAGAGTCTTTTAAAAGTATTCTTTCCTGAGTATCAGTTAAGTGGTTTTAGAATGATAAAGACTAATGTAATAATGTAAATCACCAGCATAATCTTGGCATTGTTTTTTTGTACATTTTTTTAAATGTATTTTAGAAACAGTAGTAAATGTAAACTGATCAGCTTGTTTCTTTTCATTCAGGATGCTGAAGAATATGCTGAACTGCCTGTGAGGCACAACGAGGACCAGATGAATAGTGAACTGGCTCACCGCCTTCCGATTGAAGTGAACCCTCATTCCTTTGACAGCCCCCACACCAAGACCCATCTTCTCCTTCAGGCTCATTTCAGCCGAGCTGCATTGCCTTGCCCTGACTATGCTACTGACACTAAGACTGTATTGGACAATGCCATTCGAATTTGCCAGGTACACCCGTCTGTCTGCCTCTGAGTGTTTTTTTAAAAACTTAAATAATATGTCCTTAAATTCATCTCTGTTCAAGACTAAAAAGTCCCTGTTATTTTAGTACGTCAGTACTTAAAATATTTTAAAACATACTTAAGTTAGAAAATTAAACTTGAAACACTCTCTCCTACACACTATTCCTTGTTGTGCATTTCTAAACATACTATTGTGTTGCCATACCTGCTCTATGGAAGTGTTAGTGCCACATATGTGTTTTCATACATCATAAACCTCCATGGAAGACAGCATGATTCAATGTGACAGAAATGCAACTATTATTATGTTAACCTTGTATTACTTATATAGTTTCCTTTAGTTTACAGTACTGGGAGTGGGCCAACCATTTTTATAATCCTTGATACATGAGAAGCAGAAACCCAAAACTCTTTAGAACTATATAGCTTTGGAGCAGTTTATAATCATGTTTATAGTCTTTATAATGCCACTGTGTGGTATAACAGAAAATTAAACTTTTGAAACCTCCCTCTCTTCTTAAAATGCACTGTACTATAGATATCTGATTAATTTTAATTAAAATATGTTCTTCTCTGTTTAATATCCGATATATCCCCAGTGCAAATGCAAGCCTTTAAAAGCTATAAAAACTGTTTTAGATACTTAGAAAACAGTTTTATGCGCAAAAAATAGATGCTTTTCCTTCCTCATGTCCCCTTACCACTAGGGCACACAACCGTTTTCATTCAGGGATTATTTTTTTCCTTTCTTGCTATCTGTCTGTCTCTCTAGCTGTGGTTCAGATATTCTGAATGAATAAAGATGGTACATCTCCTTTTTTATTTTTAAAGGGTCTATTAAAAATGGAACACAAAGTGTTCCCTTCACAGCACGAAGTTTTTAATCACACATGAGCTGAATACATAGACAAAAAAAACTACATTTCCAGACGTACCACACACCTTAAAGATTTCAGTGAAGTAATATCCACAGATATCCCTATTGTATGTGACAAAGTCATTCAAATCATTTCTTCATATAATCTGGCCTCATTTTTGTTTTTCTATGTGTTTATTTGCTTTTAAATACATTATTTCTGGAACCATTATGCATAATATATTTTATCATTAAAATCTAAAATAAAATAACCTGTTTTCTAATGACTATTTATCCATATTTACTAACAATTTTGTATACTCTGTGTAATTAAGAAATTATAATTCTATTAGTAGTTCAAGTAGGTAGCTATATCAGCATGCATAGGCTGCATAGGAACAAGTAAAGGTTAAATCCATCCTGAAAATAGAAGTAAAGAAACACAAAGTTTCAGCTGTGGAGCCTTTTTCAGGTATGAGAAAGAGAGGAAAGTCAGCAGCTGATATAGCATGGGAGAACAAAAGCCAGGAGTGGAGAGGAGGCAGGAACAGGAGAGAAACGGAGTGGACACTCAGGTGGTTTGAAGTTAAGAGGGGTGAAGAGAGGTGTGAAATCAAAACCTCCAAATGAGTAGAGAGAATTAGAAGGAAACGAGTCTGTTGTTGAGAGTAGGGGGAAGGTGTGATCCTAATTTCAGGATAACTTTGGTTTCGGACGTCTTTCTGCAATAGGAGTCCCAAAACCCCTCTTTTAGAACATAGATGGAGAGATTGGTATGATAGTGGCAATTAGAATGTGAAATGAGAAACTAGGGACTTGGAAAGATCTTAACCCTGTGACATGTTCCCTGCAGTGATCTCCCAGTCTCCTTCCTGTTTCACCAATGTAAATAGCTAGGCATTTTCTGCAAGAGATGCAGTAAATAAGGTTGCTGGAGGTAGAAGATGTCATTTGAGAGATCCAAAATTGTCCAAAGGGGCCTTGAATGAGCATGATACTGGATATATATTTACAGGTGATGTAGCTACTTCTGTAGCAGAGATAAGTGCCTGGTGTGGGTGATTGCTGAGGGACAATATGTTCAGGAGAGTACAGTACTGCTGTACAAGGATCATCATCCCTTTGGGGCCTCCCCGATAGTTTCCATGGACAGTTTCCTTTGACCTACAGTAGCTGTAAGGTGCCTGTTCAAAACCTGTTTTTGGTTAAACAGTGAGTTAGTTGAACAAATATAAAAGCGGGCTCAATAAACGTTAATTGAACAATCACACATATTAGGATACAATTAAAAATGATAAAACAAAATGCAGATGATTTATTCTTGTTTCCGACTGTAATTTAATGAAAGCATGTAAAGTTATTTTCTTCTTACTTTTTGTTAATTAATAGACATTCATTTCACTGTCACTTTAAATGCAACACTTGTTAGATGCGCTTCTAAGGAATGAAGCTACATGAGAGACATAATACAGAAACATTTTATGGACTGTAACATGCTTAAAAGGATTATCACATGGCTTTTTATTTTACCTGTCCTTTAAGCTCCAGAAATGTTTTATCTCAGGTTTGGAGACAACAGGGTACCCAAGTGAGCTGATATGGTGTTTTTCTTTGAGTGGTATGTCTTTGAGGATTGTGATTTAAGCTTAAAATGATAGATGCTGTCGGTGATAGACATGTTTACAAGGATATGATTCCATCATCTATTAAGCTTCTAAAAAGCATGTGTGTCTTTTAACCTCAGGACCTGAGTATTGAAAAGGGGGAGGTTAAGCTTCTTGGCCTAAACCCCAATAAATGACTGTGTGGAGAGAAATGAAAGATGATGTCAATAAAAGAAATCCAACCTCTTTATCCCACTTCATGAAGCTCATTCTGGAGCAATAGAAAAGTGCCAGCCAAGAGCTGTGCTTGTTCGTTACATTGTTTGGCTTTACCGTCAGGTAAATTAAGTGAGACATAGCCATTAGAAAATTATAAGTAGAGATATTTAACACAGGCAGATTCAAATGCTTAAAGGGATCACACATCATGTTAACATTTCCATCATTATTAGCTTGCAAGGTATAATATAGTAACATTTATTAGTAGTCCCTTTGAGCAGTTGTTATGCGTGAGAGGCAGGTTCCGCTGCCTTTCTCTAATAAGACTCATCTACATGCTGCTGTCATATGACTAACACATCTGTCAGGTATGAAGAAATAGTGAAATATAGTTTTCCAAAATGGAAGTACTGGAACACTACAGAGAGCTTCGCTGGGTTGGATTTGTTGGTTGCTAGAATTACAATTACAATGGGATTGTCTGCTATTAAGACAGTCCATAGCTGTATACACAGTTTATGTTTATATGCTTTTGTTTGTTTTAAGTTAAGGAACCTATTTGGAGTGATTTCATGTGTAATAGAAGTCATCATCTATATCTATGTGTCTGTAGTTTTCTACCCAGAAGCTGTTTACCCAGATTAGGCGCTACACTGGTGTGTTCTCTCTCAACAATTCAGAGGCTAGAGAAACATTATTTGCCATGACTTATAATACATTTCTAGAGGAAATACTTTGATTTTTATTGAGTTCTATAATGTCCATAAACTCTACCAACCTGCTGAAATGTCTGGAGGTAGCTATATAAATGATAATACTTTTCACCTCTAGCTTCAAAAAGATGTTGTGCGATGCTGTATGAGAAATACATAAGAGTAATAATAATAGGAGTAATAATTCACAAAGGTATTGAAGTGTTAACTGTGCAGCAAGGGACAGTAAAACTTCACCCTTCTTTATCGGTATATTAAATGTATGTTTGCTTGTGAGCTGAAATGAAATCTCAAAGGAATGTGTGTGCCCTGGGAGAAAGGGGAATAATGAGTGGAGGTGTGGAGCGGTTAAAATAATTTACAGCTCGTCATTGAGACAGATCTTGTCTATCTCATTGAACAATTTGCACTCAGGGCTTCCCAAACTGCAGAGCAGGAATGACTTTTTTTTAGCACATGGCAGGAAAGCTGCAAAGTACAGGCTCTGAATCTGCTATCAATTGTCCATGCATGGCAGCTGTTTCTGCTGATGCTTACATTGTGTGACTATGGAAAGCTGTTCTTTTGTCATGTCCGTTCAGACTTCTTCATATGCTAGACAATTTAACAACCATTTTCCTGAAAAATATTTTACTACTAAACCAAACTTATGGTGTTTCATTATTGTTTTGTGCTGTTTCTTTGCTTTATAAAATGTTAGCGCCGTTATTCATGTATTGTACTTACAGTATTGGTGTCTGGTGGAGGCGAAGGTCCACTAGGATAAGACATGTTAAGAAACAGGAATATTCTCTTTTTTATTCTCAAAAGTAGCAGTAGGAGCTTCCATGACTGTGACAAAATGTTGTATTTATTTTCATTTCACAATATGTCATTTTAAAACATGTAATCCAAAAAGACTAGAAAAAAATATTGACTAAATTTCAGCCAGACAGCTAAAATAGATTCAGTGCTGCTAAAGAAGAAAAGACTGGGCTGTGAGACTGCATCTCTCCTGCTGCCGTTGTATGGCGTGATGAATTCACCAAAGGCTTCTCAGCTAAAATAACAAAGACGTTTGTCTCCATTGAAATGTAGAGGATTTAAGTGAATATTGTGAAAAAAATAGAATCCAAAGAAGGTACATTTTAAAAAACATGAAAACAACCTGCATCTGGCAGACAGAATGAAAATCTGTGTCAGCACTGGTGTGATATTGCTAAATCACTCATCATTTGATCTAGTGGTGCTATATGCATTTTATAGCTAAAGTGTACTGTGAGAAATAAAATCATAATTCAGTAAGAAGTAAATAGAACATCAGTGTGATCACAACACGAGAATAATAGAATTATAGTTTATTTATTCGTATAGGGAAAACGCAGGTGCTTTTTTTTTCATATTGAACCTTCTAGTGTCTAAGAGAAAAAAATGTAAATGTTTGTAAACCATAGCATATGGTGGATTTTACCTATGTTTAATTTTATTTAATGAAGACTTATTGAACAGTAAAGCAACTTTGTTTATGTGAGATGATATGTATAGAGAGAGATAAACAACTTGTAATCATAGAATTAGTTATATAAAAAGGGATAGTGCAGGTGTAGATAATTTGCAATATAGGAACCTTTTGCCAGCATTTTTTTATTTGAAAAGCTGTTTGAGTGGTTACCATTGGCAAAATAAATAATGTAGAAAATGTGTTACTTGACTAAAACCTTCAGGCTAACTATCTTATAGGGCTAACAGAAATATTTGTAGTGGAATTTTTCATTTAAATCCAGGACAGTTTAATGAGAAAGCGATGCAAGTCTGCAATCTATCTCAGACCCATGACAAACCTTTTCCCATTTCTAACTGAGGGGAAATGAGTAATGTGTAACCCATTTGTGTGATCAATTTGCTCAAGCAGCTACTGTGAAATGTTAATCACAACTTTAATTTGTACTGCATTAGCATTTTGATTAACTTGTAGGCTTGCTGGCATACTTGAAGTGCTTTTAGTCATAGTTACAGCTAGGAAATGACTTTTTGATTAATTAAGTTTGTTAGACAGCAGCTGAGCTTCCTGAATACTAACCTTTTAGGAGAGTTCTAGAAGGTTTAGCAGAGAGGGGAAGAGGGCAACTGTTGCTGATTAAAAATATAATAATTAAAGAGTATGTTAAATCCACATTATTCCCCTGACCTTGAATTTCAGTCTATTTAGGGTTTATGGTGCCTTTTTTCCAAAACAATGAAATGCATGAATGTTCTTTGTTAAGCAAAGACACTATATTGCAGCTACGTTCTGTCCATCTGTTATCAGTAAGCTGCTTGCCTTCTCCAGTGTCCCTGTAGCCCAAGCCTGTCCCAGAAACACAAGGCACAAGGCGAGACTCCATCACATCAAACCTCACCTGCATGTCTTCGTAGAGGTGGGCCTTAGAAGTGGGAAGAAAACAGAGCACACGGTGAAAACTCACTGAAACAAGGAGGCGAGGGGGAAGGGGGGTGTAGTCGCAATGCAGTCAGATGCCCAAGAAGAGAATCAAAGCCAGGAGCCTGAAGAGGAGAAGCAGCAGGCAGTGCTAACCAACACGCCACTATGTTTCCTCATTACCATGTCGGAATGAATAATAATAGTTGCTTTGCATAGACTCTTTATTAGAAACCAAATTGAGGTCTTAATGAAAATATCAGTAACTGGGTTAAAATATGGAAATATGAAAATTGAACCTCAGTATCATCTCTGCTCTCAAGTCTTTTCCAGTGCTAATATATCCAGGTTGATTTGTGTTGTATCTCAAGCTCATTTGTTTGTGTATTTTAGCACAATACAGGAGGAAAGAATGGATGGATGTAGAGATGTTTTTTTCTTTAATTTTACAGCCTCATTGTGGTTTATACTAAGTCTCTGTACACTTGTTCAGATTTGCTGTCCTCACACAAGAGGCTGCACTTACTTAAGGCAAACACAATAGGCAAATCCTTTTTAAACAGAGAAGTTATTTACCAATGCAGGACAGTTTCAATTAAATGGTCTGCTTTTTCAGAGCAAAGCCTGTTTCCTTGTCTATCATGTCAAAATCCTCTCTGTTAATAAATTAACACTGTTTTTAATATGTCATTTCCAGTACTGTCAAAATATGTGATTTTTGTAAGTGTTGACACTTACAGTGCCAAAACAGCTATTGTACCAGTCACAATCATTATTCTTACATGCATTATTCCAGTTCTCTGGTGGGCATTGTCATTCTTTTTTCTTTGTTAGTAAACAATAGCATAAGAATATCAGTGCTCATCATTTCTGATGTTATCATTTAATAAACTACTCACCTAGTGAATCTCAGTTAAGAGTTTAGGATGAATGTGTCCATGCAGACGTTTTTGGTTTTAATGGAAACAGAAATGCTTAGTGGTGGCTCAGAAATGGCTCAATCAGAAGTGTTGTTTTTCTGAGTTAGAGCTACATACAGTACCACATCCAATAAACTATGAACATTATTGCAGTTTTGATCTGTTTTGATTCTTGAAAATCCTGAAACGTCAACATAGGAAAATTTTTAATTCATTTATTAACTTAATTTTATACATGTGATACATCAGAGAATTAAGATAAAAGCAAGAAATAGCCAAAATGCATGAGCATTATTTATATTCGGCATCTTCACTAAATGAATGAAATTATTGATCAGTATTATCACCTTATTTCACCCAGTCATGTAATTGCTTTTAAGGAGAAGACATCTTATCATCTAGACAACATGTATTTGCAATATGTTTTTCACTTGTTCAAGTAATCTGCAAAACCACACATTGATATGTACCCTAAAAACAAGCAGAATGCTAAGAATTCAAAATAGTTGATGTTATTCAGAATTTCATAATTGCCATTTATTTAGAAATTGTAAAAAATTGGAAAAATTGGAATCAAAGGGCAATAGTTTATATTTTAGGCCTAAACTTTCTAATTTCCATATTATCACCTCTGCATGGAAGTAGCTTCGTAGCATCTCCACATCATCTATAGACACAATCAATATGTTCATATTAAGTATAAGCTGCTAAGTGTATAAGATGTCTTCTCATTTCTTCACTCTGTCTCTTGTCAACATCTTTTGGTTAGTCACATTAATGGTTTTTTCTCTTCTTCCTCCAGGCAATGCTGGATGTGGCAGCTAATGAAGGCTGGTTGGTCACAGCCCTCAATATATGTAACCTTGTCCAGATGATTGTTCAGGGACGATGGCTCCATGACTCAACCCTGCTTCTCCTACCAAACATGGAGCAGCAACATCTTTATCTTTTTAGGTAAAATAATTAGCTATGAAATATTTGAAATTCTGGTTGATAAATTAGAATAGATTGAGTAGTGTTTCAAAATATGATACTGTAATCAAAAGAATTGTACACAAAGCATAGCCTTTTGTTTAACAATTTACATCTGGAAAACACGAGGTTGACATTTATTCACACTCGACCAGTTAGTATTTTGTAAATCCTCCTCTGGCAGAGATTACACTGACAAGACACCTCTTGTGTGCAATGAGGTTCTGGTGCATTTGAGGAGGATTTTTGACCGTTTCTCCAGGCAGAGTTGCTTTGCGTCATTGATTTGCATTTGTGAAGTGCCTTCCTGAACTCAAAGTAGAAATGTTCACTTGCATTGAAATCAGGAGATTGAGAACATTTCTTTTGCATGCAGTTACCCTTTAGGTTGTCCATTTTGATGCATGGCTTTAGTCATCGTCATCATAGAATGTTCATTTCCAGCTTAACATGGGTTTTTTGGCAGAGGGATCCAGATGCTTGGTATATATGTCCTAGTATACATTGGATTTCATGATTCCCCCAATATTAAAAAGGGCTTTTAGACCTGTACATGCAAAACACTCAAAACACATAATAGGCCCCACACTGTTTTTCACCATGGTTCTCAAGATGAGCTCTTATGCCAAAACGGATGAGCATGTGCAAGATGCTCTGGTTTCATTTCGTCTGACTATAGTACATGGTTTTAACTGTCATTTGGGTTTAGTTTGTCTTGTTGTGGTTTGCTCTTAAAAAAGCCTAAGAGCTATGTAGCCTGAATCTCTATGTATTTTGTTGGAAACCTGCAACTTTTACCTGTGGTTTTACAGTTGACTCCCAAACCATTTATTTTACAACCTTCGGTCATATGATCCACTTGTGTCCTATTCCTGTAGAGGTACCAAAATACCAGTTACTTTAAACTTCATAATATTGGACCTCACAATGCAAAGTGGTAGATTCAGCTTTTAATGGACTCTCTTATCACCCACCCTTAACTAGTGGAGGTCAATGACCATTTTCCTGCAGTCTTCAAGGAGCTCTCTGACCTTAACCATGATGATACACGTTATTGAATGTCCTTCCAGTTACCTCCTTTGGAAACAGGAAACATTTGAAAGCCATTATATACTTCCAGAGTGTTCTCTTGCACCAAGAGGTGTGAACAAATATGTCCCTTGTGTGGCGTTCAGCTAATTATATATCACAGTTATGACACCCGTAGGACATTTTTATATTTCTAAGTAGGACTATCTAATCTGTCATTTGTTCTGTTGTATATTGTTATTTTGCCTGTTTCATTGCGGATTTGAATATTTCTGGAGGGCACAGCAGATAGATTTTGGCCATACGCATAGAAATATATTGTATAGTTAGGTAACAAACTGACCATTTATTCTGGACATAAACTAATGGCTTTTAATGCAGCAGTTACACCTATAACAAAACAATGTGTTTCTATGTTATTTAGAATTAATTTCTTTCAAATGAATCTTGTCATTTTATCTCTTACGGTTACAAGGATGTTTTTAAACTGGATAAAGTTTAAAGTTAAGTTCATATTGGTACTATCAAATATTGGGAGCAATTGATCTGTAGGTATTCTCTCAGTCTTTAGTTTTTGCTGAAGAATTAGCCTGCATATTTGAGAGAAGAGAAAACCTGTAAAGCCACAGTTGAATTAAGACAAAGCAAACTAATCTGTATTCCAGTATTTCTGTCTTACCTATTTTCAGGGCCAGGGATAACCTCTGAATTATCTGAGAATTATTGTATACACTTAGCAGCTACAACATGGCTGAAAGAAAAAGGTATTAATCCTTCAGAAGCTTTTTTGAGACATTGCAAACATGATTAGCATCACTTAACAGATGTGGCTTTAAATTGTGGTATACAAACATTTCTTTGCTGGTCACACTGAAGATGAAAATCTGTTTCTTAAATATCAAATCTTTTCATGCACATAATGAGAATTTCAAGCATGACTTCCTATAGTGAAATATAATTTCTAAAACACAATAAAAATGGAAAAAGGGGATGAGAATGGCCAGCATCCCTGTTGTTACAGACTGCTGTAGGGCTGCGTTTGTATTAACAGGATTTCCAACTTGCTTGCACAAATGGTTCTCAGGCCAGGAGAGAAGCCTCATCTGTTTTTCTAGCTTGGCAGTCAATTTATTATGTGAGTATGTCATTGTTATTTTTGTCAGGAAATGGAACCAAGGCAGAGGGAAAAGCGGCTCTGGGAGTTATCAGGGCTCCATTGAATGTCTTCCTGAACTGATAGCTGCCTGTGAAGGAAGAGAGCACACATTCACTTCCATGGTGGCTAATGAATTACAGCCTTTCCAGGCTTCACAGGTAACGCTCACCCTTTCTGCAAGGTTCACCGTCTTCGTACCTCGTCTCAATAAGCTATACTGTGCTCTGAATCCAAGGGAGACGTAGACATAAATGTAATAGTTTTTCACCGCCCAGCATTGGTTTTATTTTAAGAATTCCTCTCAAGACATTAACATCTGAAGAATAGTGCCCGAGACGAGACATAAGAAACGTGGAACACAACGTCAGGAACTTATTGTTCTTTCTATAATTGCTTTTGTTTTAGGGTCTAAATGATTTATTTGTTTTTTAACAGTGGTAATGCCTTTGATTGCTCATTTAGTCCTTTGGGCATTTTTTTGTTTTTTAATATCTCAATTTTATTATTATTATTATTGTTGTTGTTATTGTTATTATTATGCTGACAGACAGAGTTTAAAAAAGTCCAGCTCTTTTAAGTCAAGAGTTTCACCTTTGAACACAACACAATCTGATTGAGTTCTGAAAAGAAGACAATATCAGTATTTCAAAGCCTTGAACAAGGGCTAAAATATTTTATTTTTTACCGATAGAGTTTTGACAAATCTTTATTTATCTTTCAAATTTTAAGTACAATTATCTACTTTTGCGTTTTTTTAGGTAATAAAACTATCAGATCCTGCTTATGTGAGGATCTTCAGAATTATTGTAAAATTGAATCACTATTAAACCACTCATGAGAAAAATATGTACATGTGGTTATAACCTACTTCTTTGACAAATAGCTTACATCAGTGCAAATATATTTAATTATTCCAGTATATTCCCTGATAAAGTCTACATTGTTTGTTAATCTTTGTGTGTTTGCCTAGTCACTATCATAATTACCCAAGATACCATAAGTTTGAAGAAGCTCACTTTTGTTATCACTTCTGGATAAAGTTTCTCTAAGTGTGTGGCCATATGAGTAGTTTCTTTATGAAAATGACCTCTTCTGACCAGCTTGGTCAGACAGGTGAATGTGAAATGTTTATGTATATAACAAAAAATGACAGAAGTTTACATGCTGAAAATAAAGTCTCCAATAACAGGCAAGAACTCAAAATAGCTGCATTAAAGCGCTTCAGATGACAAAGGATCTGGTTACATCAGTTGGCCACAAACTTGCAGTTATTGTCTCAAAGGGATATGCAACAAAATATCTACTTTTATACTTTGCATTTTCCTTAAAATGTGTGTGGCCACATTCGTAGTCAACTGAAATCACTAGGTTAAACACAAAGTATGTTTTTGTTCTAATATGATAATATTATATGATGTGATAATATAACCGATATTATCAAAAGTATGCTTTGAATTATCCAAAAATAAGATATATGTTCTATTGCATTTTTCATATTAATCACATGAACACAAATACAAATTGCTTCATTGTAAAGCAAGAATAAATGTTTTGACTTAGCTTTGTTGCTACTTCTGCATACATTATATATCCATTCATCCATTTTCTAACAGCTTCTTCAATTCAGGGTTGCTGGGGAGTCAGAGTCTATCCCAGCAAGCACTGAGCGCAAGGCAGGTTACACCCTGGACAGGACGCCAGTCCTTTGTAGGGTAGACAGACACATTCACACTCACACCTAGGGTCAGTTGTCCCAGAAGCCAGTTAACCTACCAGTATGTCTTTGGACTGTGGGAGGAAACCAGAGCACCTGGAGGAAACTCTATGCAAACCTGGGGAAAACATACAAACTCCACACAGATAGTACCTGAAGTCTTGAATTGAATCCAGGGTCCCTGGTCTGCAAGGCTGCAATGCTAACTGATGTGCCTCCATCTTACCCACATTGTATATCCATCAGTATATTATCTGAAAGTCATTATTTCAGGTAAGATTCACAGCAGCGGCCTGCAGCAGATTCCACAAGCTCGAGGCAGGGTGGAATTACACCCTGGACAGGACACTGGGTTTCACATTGTCACATGAAATGCGTGCACACACACAGGGACAATGTAAGACACCAGTCACTTTCACCTAACATATCTGGGATGTGGGAGGAAATGAAGACACCCAGAGAAAACCCTTGAGGACTCACAGAGGACATGCAGACGCCACACAGAAGTTACTCCCCATCGGAATCAAACCCAGATCCCAAGAGCAGGGATCCATCTCACATACATGTATATGTAGTAGCATATAAAGGGAAAATATCATGAAGATAATGTCTAAAGTTATGCTTGATAACTTATTTCTTTGATCAAAATAATATTTCACACACTTTCACTTTTAAATATATTTTTCTGCCATCATTTTATATGGTTGCTTTAGTTCTTTAACGTGGGGTTACAGTGTCAAGAACACTGATTATTTTTGGAACTTTGGCAGGGCTGTGCTCTGTGGATGGAGTTCTAAATTAATTCTGATATAAACGCACAAAAAAAGAGCTTTGTCTGATGTACCAAAAGATATTTGGCTCAGGAGTGCTTCAATTTGAACAGCAATCTGTTGCCGCCGCTACAGCGAGTTGATCCCAGGTAACATAAAAATCCTGAATTATTCTAGAAATTAGTGGGTTTACAGCATCAATTTAAGTGCTAATTGTAGTAGTAATGAGAAAAGACAGCCACAACTGTGAGACTTGCATCTGCTGTGCAATCAGTATGCTCAGAACGGCTGCTGACTGGCAGAGGATTTGGCTGCTAATTAAATAATTGCATGCGTGGAGGTGTTCTCGTCTGATTCAGTAGATGAAGATTAATCCTCAAATAAATATGTTTGGCTGGTACTGAAATGTTTTAGTAGGTCTTGCTGCAAAGCCTGTTTTCTCTCTCTCTCTTTTTAATCAAGAGGCAGCCACCATCAAAGAGCTTAAAGGTGCAGTTAAACAAATTGTATTCTGGTGAAGTGCAAAATAAGAAGGAAATAATAGAAAGTGAGTGAAATATAGAAATATCGGCAAATTCCGTTAAGATTGCAATACAGCAGTCTTGTTTATTAACAGAACGACTGTCAGTGAGTCACATCTCTGCACAGCTTTAATGAGGTATAAAAACACTCTCATTGCAGAGTGTATGTTGCAATCACAGTTCTGAAATACTGTGTATTTTATCATACACAGTAAAAATGAAATAGAACTGAAAGCCATGGCTTAAAGTGTACTAAATGATAAGGAGCAGGACTCCAGTCATAAGCGTATTAGGATCTCAGAATCCATTTTTGCTATTGGTACCTCCTTTAATTTTTAAGCAGTGTCAAAAACAATTGCTCTTTTAAAATTGTGTTTTAGAGCTTTATTGTTCAACCAATGAAAAAGAACAGTCGAATATCCAGTTGTAAAGAATTTTGTAATTCAGATAATTAGCATTATTGTAATGTTTTCCCTTAAAATGGAACTAATAAACCTCACAAACATGATTAGTGTTATTAAACTGTATTTAATTGTAATTGCCCAGGCTTTATATGGGCTTTATGTATATACAATGATACAATTAAAAACAGCATAGATACAACTGCATCATCTTTGTAAAACAATTACACTTGTGAGAGATATACTCCAAGAAGAAAATAAGAAATAAAAATTCATTTATCATTTATTTGTATATATTACAAAATATAGCATGCAAAGTAATAGAAGCCAGAATTAATGGGAGTCCAAAAATATTTTAGAGAGATTCTGTTCCATGCACCCATTTGAAATCACAGTTCTTTACTCTTAATAAATCTGTGATCAAATATACAGTAATGCTGATTCAGCACAAGTTGTTGTATTCTTCATGGTTTGTAGTATATTCGAAGACTGAAGGTAATACTGTATACATTTATTTAGTTTATTTTCTTTGTCCAAATTTACAATTCTGAATACAAACATCAATTTGCTGATTTAACAGAAGATCAAGATCTTTCCCTTGCATCCTCTGAACTCTTTTTCCCTCTGAACCTGTTACCCAAAACACCTAGTTTCTCCAGGCATCACAATCACAGGGAGGACTCATTGTAGCAGCAGCTGTTCCCTACTTGATCAGTTAGTTAAACACTCAGCCTGTATAGCTTACTACACAGTGAAGGTATCTGTTCATTTTTTCCATTTCTAGCCATAACATATTAAAACAGTTTTGTGTATTGTACAGAACTCTTGGGGGGATAAATTTAATAAGACATATATTATCTTTCCTCTCTATAAGTCTTTCTTTGTTTCTGTAAGTAGCCTCCTTTTCACTTTTTTAACTGATTTAAATTGCAACACCAAAACAGTTTTCATGACTTCTATCTGCTGATGTGTAAATAGATCTAAATATATTTAAATTATTGAGACATGCAGACATTTTTTCTTGAATGCATGCATAGTCATATGATGAAGTCAGAGTTAAAAATAAATCACAGTATGAATCTCAAGACAAATAACTTGGAATAACTTCGTTTTGCTTCCTTTCACCTGTTTGTTTCTCTAGGCCTGGAATTTCCTCAGCCATCTGCCAGTTATTGAGGTTGGAATGAGCATCAAAGGCTGGTGGGAGGAAAGCGAAGGGCAAACAGAGAGAGGTTTACCTACTGTGGTGTCTGACATCAGGAATGAGAAGAACTGGGTATCTGTGCACGCTGATCAGGAGTATGTGCTTCAGATAAATCTGCGCCGTATCAACATGGGACATCAAAAGGTAGAAGCTCTTACTTAACCTGTCGCACAAGGAAGTAAAAGTACAATGCATCAATATGGTATAAGATGGCAGTTGTTCTACAATCTAATTAATTATTAATTGTAAAAGGTGCATTATCATCTTAAATAATTTCCTCCTAACTCAGAGCACGCTATTTTCCTTATGGCTAATTTCATGGAATACCCTCTCTTTGATTCTTTTGCAGATATATTCTTACATGCCTCCCCAGAAGATTAGTGACCCATTCTGCGGTATTGGAAGGTTTTTATGTTTGTCAGCTGATCCAGCTTCTTTTTTTTCCACTTACAGAGAAAGCAAGACAGCAAAGCTCTTGCTCCCAAATTCCCCAAGGTCAAAGATGAAGGGTGGTTTGTAGCCCTGGGAGAGGTGGATAAAAGGGAACTTTTGGCCTTGAAGAGAATTGGATATGTGAGAAACCGCAGCAATGTATCACTAGCTTTCTTTACACCAGAGAAGACTGGAAGGTAAGATGTTGCTTGATGTCAGTGGTATCACTGCCATACCTTGAGAAAAGTCACTCTCACTAACTTCCAACAATGTGCGGTTACAGAAATAATCACTCTTTCTTGAACAGTATCTAACAAAAATTGTCAGTTTAAGTGTTTCTACGTCACAAAGACATCAGTGCTACCTCCAGTCATAAAATTAATTCATTTAATTATTTTAAATGTATTGACATTTCAACTTTAATTGATATACAACATTTATTTTTACCCCTTTTAAGAAAGTAAATGGCTTTGACTTATCAAGAAATTAATTTTGTCCCTTGTAGCAACATTCACATTGAACTTTTATGTGAAGAGCATTTTGGTTTCCTCTTGGATGGTTTTTACCTTTCTGACAACATCTAAATTTTCATGAGCCACCAAAGTGTTAGTTCAGTGAATAGTGGATATTTATTCCCACCATGAAGTGTGGGCACACTACTGAATATTGTGCTCTAAACGTTTCCAACTTAAACCTGCCTTGGACATAAACCCAAATGCTATTTTCCTGCTGATGTTTCTTTGCAAATGAGACTTGACATTTTCAAACGATGATATACTTGATTGGTTGGTGGTAGTATTTCATACGACAAACCTGAAGTGAGTGTTCAACCATGTGTGACCCAAGATATGATTGTAATAATAGTGCCTTCTCGTTGTAGGTGTATCTACACTCTGTATTTGATGAGTGACAGTTACCTTGGCATGGACCAGCAATATGACATTTACCTGAATGTGATACCAGCCAGCATTGCCTCCCAAGTCAACACTGAGGTCTCTGATGCCGTGAGCGACCTGACCTTGGAGTGACATGACTTCTTTTAATCAGCTGGGAGCAATAATGTTGCAGCACAGATTGGGCTGGTGTGCTGGGCCGTGCAGAAATTACTTGATATTTGCCTTAGCAGATGCAACTTCTAACCTCAGACACAAAGGAAATTGGAAGTGGCAGCTCAGGCTGACCTTTAGATCACAGGCTCTGTACAGCCATGATGGCCTTACATAATGTTGCTTTTGAATTAATGCTACAGTCAGATTGTTCAAGACAAAGGTGAAATCTGTATGGTACACTTAAAGCACAGCACACACAATAGATCCATCATACACTTCAGTCTGAATGTTTGTTACTGTGAGAACTCCCTACCTTTAATAGGTAATTAGGAACCTTTGCCACTGGTGATGATGATTGGGCGCTAAGTGGCACTCTTAAGAGGGTTATTTAATTTAATTTTATATTTCACTGTGGAATAACAGTGCTAAGAAAGCATATTTTGAAGTATGAATTATTTTTATTGTTCCTAATAAACCAAAACCATCAAGTTTTTTTTTTTTGTTGTCATTCGATAATTCCATTTGTGCTTTAATTTTGTTATTTTGCTAAACCAGACTTTGTTGTGTGGTTTAGCCATTTCTGAATACGTGTTGTTTACATAGGACAATGAATCTTGATGCTGCAAAGTTAATTAAAGGGTGTACTGTATAATTTTGGTATACATTTTCAATATTAATATGGAATTGTTGTATATGAACCTGTAAGCATTTTGAGAGACCATTTATGATGTGAAGCTGAAATGCATACAGAATTTATTTTTTTTTCAGATTGCTGTTCTTTATTTGAATTAAAGTTAAAGCATGGGTTTTTTGCACAATATAAGATCATAAGTTTTGTGTTTGACATACAGTACTAAACCAGTTTTGTTTCCATCAAGGAAAATTCTTATTTAAAAATAGAAAATTCCCAGCTTTCTTCAGAGTTTAGAAATCTATTTTTTTCCCTATACTTTAAGTATTCATTTTTGTTCCTCTGAATTGCTGTCTTTTTAAGAAACAAAAATGCTTAATGTTAAATATGAATCTAAGATGATTGATCCCTGCAAATCTCAAGTATAACATAAATTGAAATGTAAACAGCACGCTTTCGAACGCAGTTTTTGTTCAATGCTTACAATCACAATTGAAAACCATCACAGTGCACAAGAATACTTTTTAAGAAAGTTATGCTTTTTTCAGGAGACCATTAAAAACCTACATTTTCTAATTCTGACTTACATAGTATTAAACTTTATATGTTACAAGTCAGTAAAAATTCCAGGCTCTAATTTTACATGCTATACACCCTGTATAGCAGAAAATGTGTGAATCCAATCATATTAATACAGAATTCTTAGTATGTTCGTGATAAAAAAACACTATATTCATCAAATTAATAATGAACAGATTAATTGACAGATTGCTCTTTGAAACATGCTGAGAATGAATACGTAAATAACTAGTTCAATGAACTATACCTCAAGAAAGCATAATTCTGAAATACCTGTTGCATATCAAACCTGTGCTACTGTACATTCAAGGTATTGCTAATGCAAGACAAAAGAGATTTAGTATATGGTACCATAATTGTGTACCTATACTGAAACCATATATTCTTAAATCACAGAAAAATTGTGGGAGGTAAACATTGACTTTGGAAATTCTATATATCAATGTATATGACAAATAGCACTCTTATTTGGACCAGCATGTTAACATTGTTTTAAAGTTAATATATGAAGGCAGGAAAAAATAACTCTTACTGGGCACACAAGCAATTTAACATTTGAAAATATACTGAAGAACTGATTTGGGCAAAGGTTCTGACTAAATATACTGTAGATTAGTCTTTTTCATACTTCTAGGGAATGTGTTTGCATACTATGTCAATATAATAAAAATTGTTAAAAAGTATGAAAAATAATTTCAAATAAAGCATTTAAATCAGTTTCTATTTCCTTTCAGATATGGTGGTAAAAACAGGTCCTTGAACCTACTGATAAAATAATTATTTCTAGTCAGTGGGTACATTCATTCAAGTCATCATTTTTCTTCTTAATTGCTTTGGCATGAAAGGAACACCGACATTTACTTATTTTTTGTATTAATTGTCCACTAATTTATCAGGATTCTGCCTGTAATGATGCAACCTTACAAAGTATCTTTGTAAATCTTTGTTCTTTTTTAGTACATTATTTTTTATTTTAGCAGTGTTTACATGACAGATAATTTTACCATTTGTGAACAAACCTCATAGTATACACTATGCACAATTATTTGAAACTATTTTTCTTATATTGTAATGATGACTTTAAAGAGTTGAAGCTGCAACAATTGTATGCAGTAACCATGGCACAAATATGAAAACAGTAATTTATTTATTCTACCTGTCACGCCCTCTACTCACCGTATTCGCACACGGAAACGCACCCGCACTAATTACACTCCAGCCCTGAGCACTTCTGCCAAACGACACCGCCCCTACAAATCGGCCAACCGTGACACTTCTTCAATCAACGCACCTTCTTCCTCACACAGTACTTAAACCCTTCTGAACCCTCTTCTCTTCGCCTGGTATTGGTTGTTCTTTGGTGTGCACCATCGCGCCTTAGTTTCTGTTTCCTTCTTGCTCTCTGTTACCTACCTCGGAACTCACGTTTGCCTACGTCTAGTGCCTTGCCCCTTCGGAATTGGAAGACCTTTTGATTGACCCTCACCTTTGGATCACGGAACTGCCTTTTCGACTATGACTTCAACCTTGCTCTATTCTGGATTGGAAACCTGCTCTGCTACCTTTTCTACGAACCTCGGATCTCAACCCGGACTTAGCCTCTCGCCTCGCCCCCTTAGGTACCGCATAGGGTTCATCCTCCTGTTTTCTCAGCGGGTTATTCGTGACACTACCATTACTAGTTTTTCCTTTTTATAATGACAACTCTTAAGCTCCTAGAATTGTGAGTTTTTGTCAAGAAATTTATTTCCATAGAGCATTATTGTATGGAATGTTTGAAAAGAAGAAATTGCTCAAAAACTAGTGGTCTAATGTCACACAGTACAGCATATAAAGGAACGAAAATATTTCGTAGTGCAGCTGAGAGATTTCTTTCCCAATACATCAATGAGTATCAGTTTAAAAACTTGTGATTAAGTTAAAACCTATTTTAAAACAATGTGTATTCTCCCTAGCAAAATGTTTGAATTTAAAAATGTGATTGTGGACATATCTGAGGCACCTAGACAAAGAAGACATTTAAAACATAATAGTGAATTTGTCTGACCTGGGAGAAACCCTTTAATGTGTTTACAATCAGAGTTCATCACACTAGCACAGTTGTGACAGGATACCTTAATAGTTGAATAAATACCTCTCATATTGCATGTCTGGCATGGCTACATGCTGTGAAGAAAATGAGAAATAAAGACAATAAATATTCAGGAAAACAGAGTTTCAAATCCATGTATTCAGCAGTGAAGTCTATAAACAATAGTGGAAAAAATAAAGGTATTATCACAGAGATCCTTTTTTGTTTCTGGCAAATCCATTAGCATATGTGAGCTCTCCACCATTCATGGAATTTTTCTATCAAAATATTCTGCAGTGAGGCACACCATGGCAAATTCAGTGTGAATGCTACCAGATTTCATGTCTTTTGATCCTCCTCTTGCCTGGTTCCAGTTTCGAGGTGTGATCTAACCTTTTCTCAGAGGTTTCATACAGTTATTACTAGTGTCATAATCAATAATTCATTAGCCTTACATTAACTAGTACACTCATTCCTCACCATACGGTTCAAAAATAACTGCTCATAGGCAAAAACTTGTAAAGGGGTCACTAAATTCCTATTAACATGCATGTACTATAAAAATCTCCAGTTCATTCCAAGTGCTCATAACTGGACATAAACCAGTTCAGTTTAGGTCCTTTTCTGACCTATATTAGAATATTTTGGCACCATAAACTGTGGTAATGAGGACAAGATTAATGCATCAATGTCTTTTTTATAGCATGGCAACTAAAAGAGTACACAGTATTCTAAATGAGGTCTTACTAGTTCTGATTCCACACCTTTAACTATATATCCTAACATTCTGTTTGTCTTTTTATTGGGGATCATTGTTTAGAAATGAAAATAAACTATCTAAATATCTTAATCTTTAAGACTTAAATGAGTAACATCTTTGAGCTCGGCATTTCCCATTTTGTATCTATATTTGTCTTACTACCTGCAGGGAAACATCAGCACCTGTCTATGTTAGATGTGCCCTACCAAGCAGTTGAAGTTTATCTTTGCTGCTTACAGTGTTTGTTGATCCTCTTATCTTGGCATCATCTGCAAACAATACTACCTATGCCAGAATGTAGATCATTGATATAAATTAGGAAAAGCTGTGGATCTAGTGCAGATCCTTGTATTTGGTATAAACAAAATGCAAAATGTATATAAGAGATACCGCAGGAAGGCATCCTGCAGGTGCAGGGGCTGATTGTGACAGACAGGGATAACAGAGATTCCAGCATGACTGAAGGAATAGAATGAAACAGGAACTCAGGGTCCAGCTCTATCATAAGGGATTCCACATTGAATGAACAGTGCCTCCTGATCAGACAAAGCATAGGATCCCTGCAGATGCTAGGGTGGGTGCTGGGACAACAGCAAGTTTAAAGGATGAAGCTATGGGCAATAACACAGGACTTTCTTATCCTTTTATGCAAGTGTTGGGTGAGTAGAGTTGTGACTTATAGATTGGCACTTTGGGTGAACCTGCTCACGGTTAGACATGAGCTGGGAAAAATTTAGAGAAAGAGGGAAAATCTGAAATAGAGGGGTTAGAGACACAGTGGGATGTCTAAACAGGAACAAAAGGGCAGAAACCTCTGAAACAGTTTAGGGGAAGGCGAGAAATAGTCCAAATAACACAGCAGTCTGTCATTGATGGCAGGAGGAACAGACTGAAATGGGATGAGGTTCATGTCATAAAAATCTAACAAGACTCAGAATCACAATTCCACTGAATAACTGTAAAACTACAGAGGTGCAAACACCCGAATTCATTTAAGGATTGTTACAATGAAGCAAGGCACTTTGGACAGCGGCAGAGGATTACAGGCTTAGTACCAAGCTCAGGGAACAAGACAATTGGGTACCTGCCTGAAAGGAGCTGGGTCGGACTGAGAGGCATCCAGCCCACGTCCTCACCTCCATGGAAGACCCGCCATCCCTTGTGGGAATGTTACTGGACCTGCCCAGGCAAAAAAACATGAAATTTTTAGGAGCTAAATTATATACTAGTCATATAGCAACTTCCATTGATTTAAAAATTATTACATTTACGGAAGAAAGATGTTTATCCCCCTCTCAATTTGAGGGCCTTTAATATACCTTGACAGAGAATTTTATTCCTTAAATGATAAAACCAGAAATAAACTTCTCTAAATGGATAAACAACTTCATTTTTAAAGGCAACCACAGCAAGGCTTTCAGTTGACATTAAAAATGAACCCCAGAAGACAGAAAATATTCAGAAGGAGAACAGTAAATCATATCATAGCCAGCTGCCATATCACCCTGCAACTCACAACTGGCAACCCACTGAAGCTCAGCAGGTGTGTGGCTGGTCAGTACCTGGATGAGAGACCTTCTGGGAAAAACTAAGGTTGCTGCTGGAAGAGGTGTTAGTGGGGCCAGCAGGGGGCGCTCACCCTGTGGTCCATGTGGGTCCTAATGCTCCAGTATAGTGACGGGGACAATATACTGTAAACAGGCGCTGTCCTTCAGATGAGACGTAAAACTGATGTACTGATTCTCTGTGGTCATTAAAAATCCCAGGGCATTCCTCAAAAAGAGTAGGGGTGCAACCCTTGGTTCCTGGCCAAATTTCCCATTGCCCTTACCAATCATGGCCTCCTAATAATCCCCATCTATGAATTGGCTTCATTACTCTGGTCTCTTCCCCACTGATACCTGATATGTTGTGGCGCACTATGGCTGCCATCGCATGATCCAGGTGGATGCTGCACATTGATGGTGGTGGAGGGGAGTCACCATTACCTGTCAAGTACTTTGAGTGGAGTGTCCAGAAAAGTATAAGCAATTATTATTAGTATATCAGAATGGTTTACCGAGCAATGAGAGTGGATATTTCCAAAACCTGACCCTGATTCCTGTTGGAGCTGGGAGTGTGACACTATTTTTATATTTCAGGATTAGAAAGGATCAGCATTGATGAGGGCATTTCAAACCAGAATGAAAGTAAAATCTACATAGTAACTTGTAAAACCTTCGAGATGGTTTTGCCGAAAAATACTACTTGTTAATTCTGCAGGAAGATCACGTTGGAACATTTCTGTGGTGAAATCTGCAGCACACCCTGCACTTATTTGCTCGTACATCACATTACATTGGTCATTACCTAGTGAGCAGGAAGGGCCACTTCACATCGCAATTTGTGTGAACTTGAGTGGGAGTTTGCAAAAACATGGCGACTTACAGTACTTTCACAAAGTTCACCATTTTGTGCTTAATTTGAAATTTGTAAAACATTTTCTATTATATCAATTAATTCATTTTGTTATTAAGATATCAGTCTGAGAAATCAGGACTGCAGTTCCCCTTTAAAATTCAGCATCTCCAAGATTTTGATTCTGAGTTCTGATGAAGATGAATCAGCTCAGCTATTCAAATAACAAAAAGAAGGCTCCACATTTGCTGGGCAATCTAGCAGGGTGGCTGCAGTCCAACCTGTCACAATGACATTGGGTAAATGGTGTACAGCGAAATGTAAGATCTTACTGTATCTACATTAAATTTCAGAATGTCCCTATATCATTTACAGGTACAGTATTATCTAAGGATATTGAGATATCTAATTGGGCTTCTTACTAAAGACAGCTAAAACTGTTTTCTAGAAACTTCCAACTCAATTATTTATGCTTTATTCCAAGATTAC